ACACTAAAAACATTTTAGGGAAAAGTTTATAATTCAATTAAAAATTATAATTAAAAATCACTTCATTGATCATTTAAGCACCAACTTGTTATTATTTAAAATAGTTGCATAGTGCGTGGTTGTGTGTTGTAAAGCACGTGCACAATCTCCTCCCATTATAGTATTTTTCGCCTCAATTACAATTCGTTCTAAGTACTGCATGCGCTGTTCCGCAATCCCGTCACCTAATACAGGTGGAATGCGAATTGCATTTTTAACGTTACTTTTAATTTTGGACCAGATCGTTTCCACCGGGTTCAACATTGGACTGTAAGGTCCCAAACGTAACAACTGAGCTGGTGAATTATCAAACACCCTTTGCAAACGAGCATGACAAGGAGCATTATCTGTTACGACGACCAAATCCTCCTAACGATTCCCGGATGTAACCCACTGGTGAAACATAGCCAACATCCACTCGTTACAGGAATCTGCTTTAAATGATGCCCTGCGAGTTTCTATCATGACGACATTTGTAGTTGAAATAGCTGCGATCAAGTGTATGTTTAAACCTTTTAAAGCAGGTACTTTCATAATTGCTCTTTTTCCTTGTCTCGCGCGTCCTTGCGTTTTTCTACAAAAAAGGTTAAAATTTGTTTCATCCAACCAAACTATCTGACGACCATTTGTGATATGTTCGTTGATGTTTCTAACATATTCAGCTCTTTTTTGTTTGTTTTCATAACTGTTCATTGTAGAAGGCTCCTTGTGCTTTTTTTTTAATGAGAACAATCTGCCTTCGAGGTAATTTGCTATTGTTGTTGTGCTAACGTTTATGTTAAATTGTCGTTTTGATGACCACCAATGTTAATTGACAATCATTTTCAATCCATGTTAATGTTTCTTCGATTTGATCTTCGGTCAACTTTTTCGGTTTAAAACCTCGTTTTCCGATGAAATTTGAATTTCCGCTGCGAACCCAATTGTATGCTGTCTTATATTTGATACCTAGCGTTTGCGCGAGATTCACCCAATCTTCAAATCGCTCCGCACATTCAACAACTCTTCTCCTGTCATTTGGAGAAGATAAAACGTAACGTTTCCTTTCAACTTGTTCAGTTGTGTGTATTTCATGCCGACAAATCGGACAACTTGAATCTGGTTGTTCCAGAACTGGACGTAAACAAATTTGGTGACATAAATGTTGACACGGATTTAGCTTAATCACAGACTTTTGGGTCATAGTGTATTAGCATATAACACAACGATCTTTCAATTCCATTATTATTACTTGTGCATACAAAAGCAAAATTTAAGATTATAACTTAAATTCATGTCCAAAAAGACCTTTTGTAACAACCTACAAACTTAGACTGTGAATTTGCTATTTTAATTTATGTGTTCTCAATTACAAGTTACGATTTCTCAATTACATATTATGATTTCTCAGTTATATCTTACGTTTTCTCAATTACATGTTGTGTTTCTTAATTACATGTTACGACTTCTTATTTACATGTTGTGTTTCTCAATTACATATAACGTTTTCTCAATTACATGTTGTGTTTCTTAATTACATATTACGACTTCTTAATTACAACTTTCATGTTCTCATTTACATCTTGAAAAGGTGTAGTACTCAACCAAAAAAACTTAAAAAAATATTTTCTTTACAAAAACATGCACACAGAATTATATATAAGAAAAAAAAAATGAACATGCAAAACCATTAATGAAAGACATGCAAATGATGATTATATATGAAATCAATATTTACCAACATTCAAGTTTTATGTATAAATGTAACAACAGCTTGATTCCAAAAAACGTTAATGATTAACTTACGAAAAATGTAAACAAGAAGTATTCTCTTAGAATAAACTAATGGAATACTTATAAATTACCAAAAATTAGTTTTAAGTATTTAGAAAATGGATTATCATACCGCGGCTAACAGTTTTCAAAAAACAAAAAATTCAAACACGGTAAAATCGTTAAACTCCTTTGAGTTTCTGATAAAAAATGAAATTTTTAAAATAGATAAATAATTCTTTTGATTTTTCGAAATGAAAATCGAATTCCATTATTCTTAATTTTTTACTTGTTTAATTGGCTCTTATTTTGATATTTAACAGAGTATATTTAAATGACCATTGCTAAAACTATATTGATATTATTAAAATTCTTAATTTAATGTAAATATTTATGCAAGCTTTAACCTTTTTTTTATATTGGAGATGTACAAAGTTTTTTTTAACTATTTTATTTCAACTTGTAAAGCACACATAGGAGCTCTATGAAAAGAATGTGGTGACTTTAGTCAACCGTATCTTCTTTGAACCCCTGTCTGTTTTTTACAAATCCACTTTTTTATTATGTAAACGTTTCTTTGTAATTATATTTTTTATCTTATGAACAGCAAACATTAAAAATGTTGACATTATCAGGATCCGTTCTAATCGTGTCAACGTTTTAACAACGTGTCAACAAATTATTACGAATATTATTTTGCTTTTGACGGAATTTCTGACAAATATCAACTTGAGAAGTTAGAATATTTAATATTTATTTATTGAGTTACTGATAAGTTACCTCATGTTTTAATGTATTAAAATTATGTATTCTAACGTTATAATATATTAAAATTATATATTCTAACGTTATAAATAAAAACGTTGCGGAGAAAACATAAGTTATAAATTTTTTTTTTGATGCTATCTGCTAAAGTTTTTAATTTTTTAAACTGTTTTATCACAAAACTCAAAAATGTGGAAATAAAACAACTTTATTTTATTGTCGCAAACTAGTTATTAAAAAAATATAACGAAGCAACATTAATAGGTCTTTAACGAAGCAATATCAACATACGTCCCTTCAACAACCATCCCTTATACAATAAAGCACAAAACTTGATCGAAAGTTGTTGTAAACGGTGTTATAGTGAAAAGCAAATTTATCTTAGCTAGTTGCACTAACAAACCACACACTAAGAAACACACTACCAGGATCTTTAACTTAAAACAACAAACAATCAAGTAACAACTTTATTTAAGGCTGCAAAGTAATCTGCAACACACTAAATTATTATTTTTAATCAGCCGTCGAAAGCGAGCCTAAAGGGATTCTTCCAAAATACAACCCTGATTCCACTAGAATACACCAACCGAGTATTCTCACATCATACAAATCTGTCAAAGAAAAGCTTTCTTATTAGATTAAAACTAAATCAAAGAGATTCAATTGCATTCACCCATACGTTCTTAATTACTATGCGGCTTTTTTCTTATGTTAAAAGACAAATAGTCCAAAATAAAAAAGATTTCATTTAATTGACACGACATAAAACCTGGCGGTCTCCTTAGCCAACAGTGTTTATTTTTCATTCAATAAGAAAGATTTTTTTATTTTTATTATAATTCTCATTGATTATAATCGTAACTACATTGATTATATCTATTATTGATCATAATTATCGAGTTAAGTTGAAAAAATTAAACCTTCTGAATGTTGACATAAATTAGAGTAACTTTTTTTATAGTATATATTCTAGATAATGCAAAAGTCTGAGAAGAACTGGATCACATGACAGATCACATGACCAAAATATATACTTATTAAATAAAAATAATCTTTTTTAGGCAAAAAACTTAGAAGACTTTTATTTCTTTTCCCTTAACGTTTTAAAAATGGTTTTTAGTATTTTTCTTTAAAGATGAAGCACAAATTTTATATAAAGTATATATTTGTAATTAGATTATTTAAAATGTTAAAACCAATTTTATAAGGTTGAATTAAGGACCATTAAGTAAAATTACTTTTGTATTTTTTTGATACCTTTAAAATCTCGTTAATTAAAAAACTTGCTGCTAATAACAACCGCCAAAATTTTAAAAATTGAGTTTCTAAAATTCTAAAATTATAAACAAATAAACCGCAACGAATCTTTTACAGCCATTATTAACACACAGTAAAAACGTAATCCAAATTTAACAACAAACGTTTACTAAGTGATTTAGCAAAGAAAAAATTATTTTTAATGTTTACAAACACTTTTAAATACCCGTTGACTCTTTCTATTTACAGAGAATATCTCTTCCATTTACAAAATGCTATCAAAATAAACCAAGCTGATATAAGTAAATAAATAATTTTAAATAAAGACCGGAAAAAATTGTTTGTTATTACTTAGAATGAAGTTGAGAGTTTGTTTACCTGTTTATTATCTTAAAGCAAAGAAGACAAACAAAAGAAACAATAAAAAGTGATAAAAAAACGATAAAAGGTGATTAAAAAATTTTGAAAAAGCTTATTTGTTTTATTAAGAAACTTAATTCGTTAATATTACGTTTTTGTTTTATTTTTCTGTAAATTAGTCTCATAAGTAAACTATCAATAAAGTAAAGGAAATAAGTGGGTACGGGGCGAAAGAAATCAACTCATGTAAAACTAAATATGGTTGAAAAATGAAATAAAAAAAATTTAAATGTATAAAGTATATACGCAAAAGGCAGGTCTAACTCAGAAGCTGCGCATTAAAAACGCATGACACGAAGCTGCGTAGAAGAAACGCAAAAACAAAAAAAACAAAAATTGTGAATTTTTTTTTTTTAAATTTGATATTTAGGTGCCCCAAGAAGTCCTAACGGTCTTGTCAAGAGACTGCGGAAATACATTTAACCAGAAAGTTCACGCCTCCTTCTATTCCGTGACGCGAAATAGGTCCAATGCTCGTTTTGAACCTGGATCTTAAATTATTTCTCTTTAAAATGTTTTGAATAAATTTGCTACTTACTTTAAATATTTCATAAATAAAATTTCATAAAACCTCATGTATTCATAATATATATAATTTAATAGTTGAGAAAACTATTGTACATACTTGAAAGAAAAAAAATTTATATCGTGTTAAATTTACTTAAATTTTTACAATATTTTACAACTCTCTCTAAATATTACAGCCGAATACCGTCAGCTACATTTATATAAGAGATTATATATATTATACAAAGGTTCACTTGGTGGTCCGTCTCTCTTCATTCTCCTCTACTTTTATGTTTTGTAATAATAATAAACGAAACTTGATATTTTTAGTTATAATAACAAATCGATATTCTCATAGAAAAACAAAAACAGAAAAATATTCGCAAAGCAGAAGTAATAAACAACAAAAAGATTCTTTAGCGGTAAACTATTCTTTTTCTTTATTCTTTTAAAAAATATTTTTTTCTGGCAGAGACCTTAAAACCTTCCTCTCACAAGACAAAGTTTATGGCCGAGTATGCTCATCAAATTTTTGCTAAAATATTTTTATAATTTAATTTTTTTCAATGAAACTGAAAAACATTTAAAAAACATAATTAACCTTATTCTTGCTGAGTTGTGAAAGTCTAGTTTACTCAGGGTTAGGTTATCGAAGCGCAAAACTTATAAGTTTATAAACTATAACTATAAGTTATAAATTATATAAGTTTATAATTTATAAATATAAGTTATAAATTATATAAGCTTATAATTTATAACTATAAGTTATAAATTACATAAGTTTTTAATTTATAACTATAAGTTATAAATTATATAAGTTTATAATTTATAACTAGGGGAAAGCGGGGCAACATGGCGAACGTTTTGAAAGGCCTGAGTTATTGCAAAACTATCAGTCGTGAAGCAATAATACTTTCTGAGTATGTTTATGTTATTAAAATGATTTATTCCCTGCATAAATTTTCCGTTTGCAAATATAACAATTTGAAATAAATATTAAAATAAAAAGTTCATAAAGTTGTCATCTGGTCACGTGACCGGAGCAAGATGACTTATTATTCAATTTTTACCTCCAATTTTATAAAATTTTAAAAACTACCAATAACTCTAACTAAAGTAACGAAAAATAAACACAAATCACCAAAAACTACTTCTAAAGAAGTTAAACTTGAAGGACATCCGTTATGAGAAACCGAAAGTGAGGAATTTTTTTTTAGGCTCAAAAAGTAAACTTATGCGTATAAAATTGCGTTAATAATATTTCAAAAAACCAATTGGTATTTTAAAATACAAAATGCAAATACAGTTTCATTTTCACCCATTTTTAAGATTTTTTATTGAGTTGTTATATGAAAACCCATCTTGCCCCATTCGCCATGTTGCCCCGCTTTCCCCTATATACATAAATTACATAAGTTTATAATTTATAACCATGAGTTATAAATTATGGAATAACTTATAACTTATGGTTATAAATTTTTTTAGAACGGAATTTTTCCAGCTTAAATTTTTAAGACCAAGTTAAAGAATTTAAATTTATATTTGTTATATTTAAAGATTTTAAATATAAGGATATTGATGAGCTATTAAAAAAGAGCAACGAAGAGCAAAGAAGAGCAACGAAGTTAGTCCCACAGCTTTTTATAAAGATTTCATATGAAAAAAGACTAAAAGCAATTGGTTTAACAATATTGGAGAAAAGAAGAGCATGGGGAGATCTTATACAGCAATACAGATTTTAGAAAAATATTGACTAAATACGTTGGTACAAAAACCCGCAATCAACATCATCCTTGACTCGCTGAGGCCCGGTTTCTTCGGTACGGGGCAACAAATACAGGCTAGATATAGAATACGTACCATCATGTTTACCGAGATATAATTTCTTCACAAACTGAATTTGTAATAGTTAAAATTTGTTACCAAATAATGTCATTGAAGCAAGATCGTTGAATGTTTTCAAAGCGCGAATAGATTAATAATTTTGATAAATTGTGTGGGCTGTCTATAACACGATGCCTCCATTGTGTTCTACAATTTATTTTGTTTTTAAATATTTTATTCTATTTTAAAAAAATTGTAATTGTTACAGCAATAAATATTACTATTACTATTAGAAAAGTTTTTTTACATTGTATAAAACTTTTTACATGTGTAAAACTTTATAAAAATGGATTTTTTTACATTTGAATATAACATACTTGTTTATTATTATATTATGTTATATTCGATGGTATGCAACAAAGCTGTGCTTATTTAGAGAACCAGCTTGTAACGTGTTGTTTAATTGCAATCAGTATAGGAAATTATAACACTATTTTTGTGTTTTTTTGCGCTTGTCACAATTACATATAAAATAAACTTTTCCACAAATAAAACAAAGGCGAAGGGAAGATTTAGAGTAATGAAGGTCATGGTAGGGTCAGATTAAGAGTAATGGCTGGTCTGAATAGGTTTAAGATATGGGTTGGATTGTTCTAACTTGATATTTTACCCTAAATCCTAACCTATATCTTTAACCTTAAATAAATTTTTTATTTTGAATATTAGAAAAGTCAAAATCAGTTCAAAAAAAAAAAAAAGGTTCTAGTGATAGGATTTGAACCATGACGCTTTGCTTAAGAAACTCTGCGAGCTAACCACTTTGGTCAATGAGATTTTTGTTTTGGTCTTAACTTCTTTGTTGCAACCTTTTATATTTGCATCATTGTCATATCTTTATCCAATATGATCAGAAATTTATAATCCAAATAACTGAGTTTTTGTAGCTTTTGTTAATCCAACTCCAGTAATTTCTTGGACGAGCCAAAATGATTTTCTTATAAATTACACATGTTGTTTATAGACAAATTGTTATAAACAAATTGTTATAAACAAATTGACATACACAAACAGTTATTATCATTATTTTTTTAAAACTCAAATACTAAATGTTTTTTTTTAATTAATTATGTCAATTAGTTATGATTAGATAATTATGGATGATTTAATGTTCATTAGTCTCGTACTTATTAATTTAACGACAATGTTTGAGGAGAACAGAATCAAATTTAGTTATCAATTGCACCAAAAAAACCCCATTGTTAGGTGTGTGCAGTTTTTCATTAGTTCCTTGAAAAGCCAAATTTCTTTCAGCCAAATAATGTACTATTTTAATAAGTCATTTAATTAAACGCCAATTTTTACGCAACGCGTAAAAATTGGCGTTTAATTAAATGACTTATTAAAATAATTTTTTAAATCATACAATTCAATTCAAACTCAGAGTTTGAATTGAATTGTACAGTTTGAATTTTTTTTCCAAGTTGAACCAGCTGTTTTAACAGTTTTATTGACAGTGAATGTGAATAAAAGTGAATGTGAATGAAAATTAATAAGAATAAAAGAGAATGTGAATAAAAGTGAATGTGAATAAAAGTGAATGTGAATAAAAGTGAACGTGAATAAAAGTGAATGTGAATAAAAGTTAATGTGAATAAAAGTGAATGTGAATAAAAATTAATAAGAATAAAAGTGAATAAAAGTGCACTTTTATTCACATTCATGAATGTGAATAAAAGTTAATGTGAATAAAAGTTAATGTGAATAAAAATTAATAAGAATAAAAGTGAATAAAAGTGCACTTTTATTCACATTCATGAATGTGAATAAAAGTTAATGTGAATAAAAGTTAATGTGAATAAAAATTAATAAGAATAAAAGTGAATGTGAATAAAAGTTAGTGTGAATAAAAATTAATAAGAATAAAAGTTAATGTGAATAAAAGTTAATGTGAATAAAAATTAATAAGAATAAAAGTGAATGTGAATAAAAGTAAATGTGAATAAAAGTTAATGTAAATAAAAGTTAGTGTGAATAAAAGTTAATGTGAATAAAATTTAATAAGAATAAAAGTTAATGTGAATAAAATTTAATAAGAATAAAAGTTAATGTGAATAAAAGTTAATGTGAATAAAAGATGTTTTGTGAATACTTATCAAAGTTTTTTTCAATTATCAAACTCTTAAAAATGCATTCAGAGAATTTGAAAATTGTTTACAACCAAAACAAAATGGTATTATAAAGTCTGTTTGAATTAAATAGACTATCTGTCGTCTGTCAAACATTTCATAAAATATTTTTTCATCTAGAAAATTATCAGGTAGGGTAATGCGGGGCAAAATGAGACAGCGGGGCAATACGAGACAGTTCGCGTTTAACATAATGCCAGTCCTACAAATTATTATTTGCAAGATTTTTAAAAGTGCAGTTGTGTTCAAAAACTATTTTGTGTCAAGAAAAATATATTGAGTCACTTTGAAATAAAAAAGTTGAGTAAAAGGGGAGTCATTTCATCCCTCGGCTTCGCAAAAACTACGAATTTTTAAGAGTTATTATTATATTTTTTTCTAGCCTTTTTTGATCTCACTGAGTGGAAAAGCTTTTTGTATTTAAAGTTTTTTTTTAATTAGAATCTTTAGGCCTTTTCCTTTCATTTCCATTCTTTGGTATTTTATTTCTTCAATAAAATAGTCTGGAAATTAGGCTATTCGATGCCAACATGATGCGGGGCAAAACGAGACATTCTGTTTGTATTTTTTTTTGCCGATATCTAATATTATGTTTATTTAATTTTTTACATTAAAACAACAACCAAAGCAAATATTAATATTTACATGCTGTAGATTTAAATTTATTATACTGTATTTACTTTTTATTTTGTTAATTGAAATGTTTAGTTGTTATCCAATATAGAATTACGTTTTATATTTTGTTAACTTATATTTAAATATAATAAATATTTAATCAAATTGAAGCAAATAATTGCCTGATGTTTATAATTACTATGTTTGTTTTTTTATAATCTTATTGTATTGTAATGTAATAAAGTAAGTAGTATATATTATATATAGTGAGTAGATTATAACATAGGTTATTGCAGTACCTATAAACAAAGTACAATGAATGTTATGCGTGCTTTAAATACATAAGTTTAATATATGCATGTATGGTTTTATTAGTTCTTGTAGTGGATATATATATATATATATATATATATATATATATATATATATATATATATATATATATATATATATATATATATATATATATATATATATATATATATATATATATATATATATATATATATATATATATATATATATATATATATTTATATAAGTGGAGTCAATTTCCAAAATGCACAACCTGGGCTCATTCGGACTGTTGTTTGTTTCAAAATACTGGTTAAGCAATATGTGATTTATGTGACTAGTGACAGTTTGATTATAGCTGTAATATATTATAAAATGTATTTCTTGCTAATCCTCTTAAAGATATATTTTTTTTTAACTTTATTTATTTAAATTACTAAAAAAAAAAATCTGTCTCATTTTGCCCCGGTATGCGGAGCAAAATGAGACAGGATAGGTGCTGT